GGTCTCGAACCCATGGGCTCAGGCAATCCACTCACCTCAGCCTCCCAAAGCGCGGGATTAAAGGCTGAGCCACCGAGCCCGGCTCATAAATAAATGTCTAAAACAAAATATGAGCGCCATCAAAAAGTAATCACCCAGGCAGGGTACAACGGCTCATGCCTGTAAACCCAACACTTTAGGAGGTGGAGATAAGAGGACTGCTGGAGCCGAGGGGTTCGAGACCAGCCTGGGCAACTTGACGACACCTAGTCTGTACAATAAATCAAAAAATTAGTCAGGCATGTGGCACGCGTCTTGGTTCCAGCTACTTGGAAGGCTAAGGCGGAAGGATTACCTGAGATCACCTTAGCCCAGCAGGTTGAGGCTGCAGCTAGTTGTGATTTTGCGACTGCACTCCAGCCTGGGTGACAGAGTGAGACTCCGACTCAAAAAAAAAAAAAGAAAGAAAAGAAAAAATAATGACCCAACTAGAACAGTCTTCTTTTATAGAGCACCTTGCACTAATTCTAAACCTCTGTAGCTTCACAGACATCCCCCTCTGTGATTAAGAATTCTTCCAGGTCAGAAGCAGAAACAGAGACTCAAACCTATAATCCCATAATCTCAGCACTTTGGGAGGCCCAGGTGGGAGGATCGCTGGAGGAGGAGGAGGAGGAGGAGGAGGAGGAGGAGGAGCAGGAGGAGCAGGAGCAGGAGAAGCAGCAGCAGCAGCAGCAGCAGCAGCAGCAGTAGCTGCTACCTTCCATTTGATTTTTCAGCAAAGTTTACCTAAGTATTCTTAGTAAGTAGCATAATGCCTGACACATAGTTGGTGCTCAAATATCTCTGAGGTAAAACTTTGGGCAGGGAGAACAATAAACCAATAATCTATAGACCTGTATCCACCAACACAGATCAAGTTTTCAAAATCTTGAGCACAAAAAAAAAAACCAAACTGGAAGAAAACACAGTGTAGCCAGACTCGGTGGCTCAGCCTGTAATCCCAGTCTTTGGGAGGCTGAGGTGAGTGAATTGCCTGAGCCCGCGGGTTCAAGACCGGCCTGGGCAATTTGGCAAGACCTCATCCCTACAATAAATCAAAAATTAGGTGGGCATGGTAGCACACACCTGTAGTTCCAGCTACTTGGAAGGCTGAGGCGGAAGGATGGCCAGAGCCCAGCAGGTCGAGGCTGCGGTGGCCGGGAGCGGCCACTGCACTCCAGTCTGGGCAACTGAGTGAGACTCCAACTCAAAAAAAAAATAAAAAGGAAAGAAAAGAAAACACAGTGTATAATATCACATGAAAAAATGTTTAAGAAAGTATAAGGAATACTTATGGATATAATGCATATACAGTAAAAGTATAAAAAAGAAAAACAATAATTGTCATCATTATTGGTTGAAAGCTGGGGCGAGAAGACATGACAATGTAATTCAGAAGGATTCAACTACATTAGCAATATCTTAGTTCTGAGGGAATGTGATGGTTACACCTTTTTTTTTTGAGTCGGAGTCTCACTCTGTCACCCAGACTGGAGTGCAGTGGCCGCTACCGGCCACCGCAGCCTCTACCTGATGGACTCCGGCAATCCTTCCGCCTCAACCTTCCAAGTAGCTGGAACTACAGGCACACACTACCATGCCCAGTTAGTTTTTTGATTTATTGTAGAGATGAGGTCTCACCAAGTTGCCCAGGCAGATCTCGAACCCACGGGCTCAGGCAATCCACTCACCTCAGTCTCCCAAGCGCAGGATTACAGGCTGAGCCACTGAGCCCGGCTTGGTTACACCTTTTAAAGTGTTTTTACTTCTTTTTTTTATAGTTGCCCTATCCGAATAAAAATGAACTAAATTTATTGATTAAAGAAAGATATCAAGAAATAAAACAATTTTCTGAAAATTGTTCCTGGATGACTTTTTTTACATGTTATTTAGATAAAGAGCAGTTTTTAAATTCTTCCTATATAATGAAAAAATGTTTCTGACTGAGCACAGTAGCTTATGTCTATAATCCCAGCACTTTGGGAGGCCCAGGTAAGAGGACCGCCTGAGTCCACGGGTTCGAGACCAGCCTGGACAACGTGGTGATACCTCCTTTCTACAATAAATTTAAAAAGTAGCCGGTTGTGGTGGCGGCACTTATCGTCTCAGGTACTTAGGAAGCTGAGACGGAAGGGTCGCCTGAGCCCAGGAGGTCGAAGCTGCAGCGGGTCTTGATGGTGCCACTGGACTCCAGCCTGAGTCACAGAGCAAGATATTGTCTCAAAAAAGAGATGACTCTCAGAATGTGAATACAAAAGTCTACTTCTGATATCAACATGTCATCAGAAACAATGTTTCCACAGAATAAGGAGTAAAGATATCTGAGAATAGGGTATTTAGAAGTGAAGTCTGGAAACGGGAAAAAGAAGTACATATGACACATGAATTTCCAGGACCATGAAGACAACACTGCCGGCAGCAGTGACTGACAGCTGAACATAACTCTATAGTAAGACTTCCAGAACTTCGCGGATGCCAATACTAGAAGCAGCATGTCAAGGAGGAAAGGTCACCGGCGAAGTAAGCATCAGAACTGGACATCAAGGAAACGGGTCGTCGGGGGAACGGGGCGTCAGAAGGCTGCATCCTTGGCGAACCCCGCGGCTCCACTCCCCTTCTGCAGCGCGGCCAGGAGCGGCCTGCGCGTCCGCGCTCTCTGAAGTCTCCTTTCCACCCGAGAGTCCATCCTCCCGGCTCCGCGCGGTCGGCTCCTTTCCTCCCCCGCGTGCCTCCTCTTTAATGCATTTTACCGCCTGCCTCCCGACGCGGGAGCACCGCTCCCCAGCAGCCGCGCCGGCGTCAGGTCACGCGCGCTCC